GATTAAGAAGCCCAACAAACCCCAAGCAACATAAACACAGAAAGACCTAGCTGTAGGAGATAGCAGACATGTAGGTTATAAAAGACAGCTGGAGGGACAGTGTCATGCACAGAGAAGTGATAAATGAATAGCAAAACTCTTAACATTAACAGTGAAAACCATAAGGCAGAATCATATCCTCAAAGTGCTGAATAAATAACCCAAAATTCTGTACCAAGTGAAACAATGGAAAGTGTCAAACCTGAGAGTTTACCACCAAATGACGCTCACTAAATGGATTCTGGGGGCACCTGGGTAGTTCAGATGGTTAAGCATCTGCCTTCGGCTCAGGTCATGATCCCAGGGGCCTGGGATCAATCCCCCGCCTAGGGCTCCCTGCTTGGCGGGGAGCCTGCTTCTCCCTCTACTGTTCCCCCTGCTTGTGCTCTCTCGCTCTCTGTCAAATAAATAAATAAAATCTTTAAAAAAAAAATGGATTCTGAAGGATGTAATTCCAATTGAAGGAAAATGACTGCAGGTGTGTGGTCTGAGCTGCAAAGAGAAATAGTGAATCAAGATAACTATGCGACAATCTAAACAATCTAATGACTGTATATAAAACAAAGATAATCTGTGGGGAAAATAAAGCAGGCTAGATTTAAAATGCCAAGTTACAACCGCTTAGAAGTTGGAAGAGGAGACTAGAGGGTAAGTTTTGCAAGGTCCTTGTATTGTCCAGAAGACCATGGTTATAGAGTGCCTGTCATGTCATCAAATAGGCATTAAAAAGAGCAAACACTAATGGAATAGACCAAATGTATACCTTCAAAAGAAGTAAAGGGAAAAGAATAAGCCAAGGAAAACAAAGCTGTCCAAAGGAAGGCAAGAAAAGAGGAACAGGAGGACAGGAACAGGTGAAATGGAATGAGTCAAAAGTTCAAAATACGGGGCACCTGGGTGGCTCAGTCAGTTAAGCCTTTGTCTCTTGATTTTGGCTTGGGTCAGGATCTCAGGGTCATGAGATGGAGCCCTGAGTCAGGCTCTGCCCTCAGCACGGAGTCTGCTTGAGATTCTCTCTCTCCCTCTCACTCTGCTTCTCCCCCTGCTTGTGCAAATAAATAAATAAATAAATAAATAAATAAATAAATAAATAAATAAAATCTTTTTTTAAAAGTTCCAAATGTGATGTTAGAAATAAAATGAAATGGCTAATCACAATAAGTGTAAGTGGACGAAATTCTCCCATTAAGTCATTAATAGTTACACCATGTTTTAAAAACAAAATAAATTTCAGCTGTGTAGTCTTTACAAAAGACTCATATAAAGCACACAGAACAAAGGCCAAACTATGGAAAATATATACCAGGCAGTTAGTAACCAAAGGGGGGCAAATATAGTTCTATTAATATCAAAGGAGAATTCAGGCAAAACACATTATTAGAAATAAGAAATTTGCTGCATAATGATCAATGATTCCCTTCACCAGGAGGATGCATTGATTCTAAATGTGTGTATACCATGTAAATTTGTGTATAGCCTCATATGAAGCCAGACTGACAGAATTAAAGGAAAAGCTTGTCAAATCCATCATCATCATAGATTTTAATACATTTGGCAGTAATTAGTAGATCAAACAGACCAAAAAAATCCAGTAAGAAAATAGAAAAATCAAGATTAAACTAACTAATGGATTTGACTGCATCTGATGTCTGGAAAAGACACAGTCCTTTCAAGCACACATGGAACATTTGCTGGGCCTGACGCACTGGCACATAGAACTGACCTCAGTATAGTTCAAAGGACCAGGGTCTGACTATAGTAGTTGTTTTTTTTTAATTATTTATTTTAAAAAATGTTTTTTTTACCACAATGTAATTAAGTTAGAAAACAAAGCCAATGCAATAATTAGAAAAATCCATTCACTTGGAAACTTAATAACACTTGTAATCAACTTAAGGGTCAGAGGAGAAAATACAATTGAAATGAGATGATTTCATCATCTTAACTTTTCACATCAAACTCATGGGATACCGTTTTTGGAAGGAAACAATATTAAATGCCTTCAAAAAAAAATTAAGGCTCAAAATAGAGCTAAGATCTAATATAAATCAAAGACCCACAGATGTAGAAGGAAGGAAATTAAGAGAAAAGAAATTCATGAAATAGAAAAACATACAAAAGAACAGATCAACAAAGCAAAATTTTCATGTTTGAAAAGATGATGCATTTTTTAAAAAAAGGCACAAGTGGAATGGAATGAAAAAATAAATAAAACCACAGATGTTACACAGAAAAGCAGTAAGAGGATATTAAGAACAATTCTCAATATTTTAAAATTTTGATATAATGGATGACTACCTAGAAAGATCCAAGGAGAAACACAAAGTCAGAATAATCCTGTACCTGTAAAAGAAATGCTATCAATAGGAAACAATTTTACCACAGAGAAAACACCGCATTCAGATGGCCTTATCTGACTGCTACCAAACATTCAGGAAACAGATCATTCCATTCCTACACAGAATAGAAAAGAAAACAGCTCAGTTTAGAGGCCAGAATAACTCTGATATCTAAACCGACAAAAACAACCAGAAAAAACATTAAAACCAACCTTCTCATGAACATGTATACGAGAATTGAGAACACATATCCAACCAGATCCAACAATAAATAAAAAGAAATCATGATCAAGTTAAGTTTCACTCCAGGGATTCAATTCATTGATATTAGAATTTTATTAATAGAACTCACATTAATTAACAGATTAACAAGGAAAAATTGTATCATCTCAACAGATTAGGAAAATAGAATTTGACATCCAGACATAACATTTAAAAATTATCTTAGCATATTTTTTAAGCCAGCACGATGAATAGAAAAATCCATTTCCTTAATTTGATAAATTTCCTTAATTTGATAAAAGACATCTACAAAAATCATCCAGCAAACGTACTATATGGAGAAACATGGCAAGATTGGGAATGAAGCTATGATGTCCTCTCTGTCACCCCTCCCTCCTTCATTTTTAATTGTGTTGGGGTTTGAGCCAGCCTCATAGTAGACAAGAAAAAGAAACACATTTAAAGGGTGAGAATGTAAAATTGGACAGCCACTGTGAAAAACATGCATGGCAGTTCATCAAAAAATTAAACAATTACCATATGATCCAATAATTCCACTTCTGGGGCATATACCCAAAAGAATTGGAAGCAGGGGCATGAAGAGCTATGTGCACAGCCATGTCCATAGCATTATGCACAGTAGACCAACGGGGGGAGTGACCCAAGTGTCCATTGACAGATGAATGGATAAATAAAATGGGGTATAAGCATACACTGGAATATATTTCATCCTTAAATAGGAGGGAGATTCCGAAACAGGCTACAACATGGATGAATCTTGAGGACATCATGCTAAGTGAAATAAGCCAGACACAGAAAAATACTGTATTATTTCACTTAAATGAGGTACCAGGGAGTAGTCCTATTCATAGAGACTGAAAGGAGAATGGGGGCTACCAGGAGCTGGGGGAGGGGGAGGGGGGTGTCATGTTTCATGGGGACAGAGTTTCAGTTAGGGAAGATGACAAAGCTCTGGAGATGGGTGGTGGTGATGGTTGCACAATAATGTGAACGTACTCAATGCCACTGAACTATACACCTAAAAATGGTAAAAATGGTAAATTTTTTTTTAATTTATTTATCTGACAGAGACACAGCGAGAGAGGGAACACAAGCAGGGGAAGTGGGAGAGGGAGAAGCAGGCTTCCCGCTGAGCATGGAGCCGGATGTGGGGCTCGATCCCAGGACCCCGGCATCATGACCTGAGCCGAAGGCAGATGCCCAACGCCTGAGCCACCCAGGCGCCCCAAAAATGGTAAATTTTATGCTATGAATATTTTACGAAAATTTTAAAAAATTGTAAGGATGTCAAAGGAAGAAACAAAATTACCTTCCTATGCAGATGTGATGAGTGTCCATAAACACCAGTCTCCCGGAGTCAGTACTTGCGACTAAGCTGGCTTTTTTTTTTTTTTTAATTACCCATGATTTGTGAATGGAGATGTGTTTCAGGGACTATATACAAAACTATCATTTTTTTGGAGAAAGAACAAAAAGCTTCCATTAGACTGTCAGAGGGGTCTGTGACCCACAAAAGTGTAAGAGCCATTTTGAGTGCTCCCTGCCCTCCCCCGCAGCTCTGTGGGCATCACACAGGCTGTGACCAGACTCCCTCCAGTAAAAACACCTCAGGAGCCCACCGCCCCTCCCCTCCCTCCCATCCCTCCCTCCCTCCCTCTCCCCACCCCCACACCACTTTTCTCTTTCATCCCCTCAGGTTGTTTAAATACTACATGAAGTATATTCTTTTTTAAAAAAATATTTTATTTATTTGACAGAGACACAGCGAGAGAGGGAACACAAGTAGGGGGAGTAGGAGAGGGAGAAGCAGGCTTCCTGCTGAGCAGGGAGCCCCATGCGGGGCTCAATCCCAGGGTCCTGGGATCATGACCTGAGCCGAAGGCAGACGCTTAACAACTGAGCCACCCAGGTGCCCCCGTGAAGTATATTCTTAAATATTTCTTGAATTCATTGGTGAAGCTTTACTTTTTTTAAGACAAGTGAGGCCTTGAATTCACACAAACTTTAGCTCTTTTCCTATTACCCTTCATTCCCTGCATGATCATATTAAAATGGCCCAGTTCTCACTCAGGGCCTGGAGCCCAGAAAGTCTCAAACACCTATGCAGTGATTAGAATACTCCAAACCGTGTCTGTAACCTTAAATAATTTTTGACCAGATTCTCTTGCTGGTTTCCTCTCCTGCATTTCGAGTGGGCAGAATTTTAACAAACTGCAGACCCCTGCTCAGTCCCATGGTCTGCCCTGGGGGGGTGGCTAGGATTCCAGGCAGGGTACCAGTGACAGAGAGCTGCGTCTCAGAGGAGGCTTCAACTTTGAGAAAATCCAGGGAATGAAAATTGTGGCCAGCTTACTTTCCATCCAAATGAAATCCTGAGACTTTTGTTTTTTAACAAAATGCTTTTATTTCTATTTTTTAATGGAATGCATTGTTAGGTTCTTGCATGAAATATCAAAAGGCATTGATCTTTGCTTTGGTCACAGAAAGGGGGTAGAAAAGATCTGCGGAAGTCAAGCCCAGCAGAAGCCACATGGTGCGAGGCAGTGAAGGGGTCACTTCCGGTGCTGGTGCACGGAGCGCGGAGTGATGATCAGTAGTCATCGTAGTTGACGCTGGCTCCATGCCTGAAGCTGTGGGGACTCTGGGGACCAATTGCTGTGTCCTCGTCATAGTGACGCTGATAGTAATCATAGTAGTCGTGCCCATTCCGACCTCGGTTTAGCCAGTAAGTGATGTCATCTTCAAATTTCTGGAGAAAAAGAGAAAAATAGAGAACGGATTTAAGGACACACACTCCCCCTCGACCACATCTTATCCCTGGCTTTTCTCTGTGATGGCTTTTCTTCAGTGATTAACAACTCTTCCCAAGAATCGCCTGTCATGATGGTATTCTGTGCTCAGAGGTCAACACAGCCAGCTAAAGAGTACTGATAAAAGCCATTGTCCCCAAAGGAGTACACATGAAGCCCTTGAAAACTTCTGCCCTATGAGTTCTCAATATACCCGACACTCAAACATTTTTCTCTTTTTTGGGAAATAAAATGGGCATCTCCCAAAGATAGCGATAGCTTGGCCTGACACCCAGGCACTGCACACATCTTACAGACTGCCTTCTCTCTTTGTCCTGTCCTGTGCCTGGCCCTAGTGCACAGAGTAGATGCTTGATAAATGAAATCAACCACCACCCTGGTAGAGCCACAGGGACTTGCAATGGTGACCCTTTTATACCCGTGGTTTGACTAGAACTTGCACGGCTGCACTTACTCATTCCACAAATGCTGATTCCATGGGCCCAGCCTGTCAGCCCTGTGCCGGGCACTGAAGGGCCACCCCAAGCAAGTAGGACAGATTCCCTGCCTTCACGAAGCCTACAGTTGCTGAGAGACACATGAAAAGAGACAGTTGCAGTTAGCAGGAATAAAAGGGAGGGGAAGAACTGAAGGAGTGAGAAGAATAGAAGGACTTTCAAGTTTACAGCTGGGGTAACTGGTCTTTGCTATCGATGCGTCTTTTAAAGGAAAGACTAATTCTTTGTCAGTAGTGAAAGTGCAAGATGAATGTGGATGGGCGCTCGCATGTGTTGATGCTGACAACTTGGGGAGAGGTTTGGTGTGAGGCCAAAAAGGCGGGGACAAGAGAGGGATGACCTAGGGGGGTTGCAGGGTATCTAAAAGTTTGGGTCCAATTTTTCTCAAAGTGTGGCCAGTGCACCCCCGCATCCAAATCTCTAAGGATGCTAAAAGTGCAAGTTCTCAGGCATCCCTCCATGCTGCCTGGATGGAATTTTCCGGTGGTTGGGTTGCAGGAATCTATTTAATAAGACTGCCAGTGAACGTGGGTATTTGAGCACTCCCTGAGGCTGGAAGGCCCAACCTCGCCCATGATGGTGTTCTCTGTGGCCACCCACTTCGGGTGAGCAGTGGGTCAGCCTGTACCATGCTGGTGAGCACCACTCGGCCCCTCCTCTGTTTGCTGAGCCCCAGGGGCTCTGGCATCTGCTCAGCCTGCCCTCCGCCTCTGCCATGAAAGTGAGAATGTTTGCTTTCCCCACAACACCACAGCTTTTCCCATCGTGAAATCATTTTTCTCCTTGGTTTTTTGCATTTTATAATCGTGTTTGAAGTTTTGGCAAACCTCAGACCTTGAAACATCAAGGTTTTCAAGAAATTAAGGAAATGTTTTGTGAGTACAGAAATAACACAGACTCATACTTTACAAATCGATACGTGGGAGTGGGACAGAGAAAAAGGGGCATCATAACTCCACTGCCAGAGACAACCACAACTGACATTTTGATGTATTTCCTTCTAGTCTCTTCTGGGAATATTTATTTTTTTTTTAATTTTTATTTATTTATTTGACAGAGAGAGCACAAGCAGGGGCAGAGGGAGAGGGAGAAGCAGGCTCCCCACTGAGCAGGGAGCCCAATACGGGACTAGATCCCAGGACTCTGGGATCATGACCTGAGCTGAAGGCAGACCCTTAACTGACTGAGTCAGCCAGACGTCTCTTTTCTGTGAATATTTAGTTATAATCTTATGGATCCTCACCTTTATTCTGGTTTTGTCACCAGTCATTATTTTAGCCATTTCTCCACATTAGACTCTTAATACCCATTTTCATGGACTGCATCAAAGAAATGCAAATTACTACAAGGACATACCATTTTCATGTTCAAGCAAGTACTTTTTTGGTTTTTTTAATTTTCAGTGAGAATTCGAGGTGATGCTGAAGATGCCAGAAAACTGGTGCTCTCACACGGGACTTCTGGGATTGTGCAATCTGACAGTGCCCAAAGACCCGCAAGTGATTCTACCTTTTGCCTCCGCAACTCGCCTGGGAAGAATGCAATACCAAGTATGGAACAAACTACACACAAAGATGCAAATCACAATACCTGTCGTTTGGGTTGTTGCAACTGTAAGTAAGTTAATTCATACAAGTGCTTAGAATCCTACCTGGCAGAGTCTGGATGTATGTGTTTAGCTTTTTGCACAGGAAAAAAAATTTTACTTAAGTAGCAAAAAGATAATTAGGGAATAACCAATATATCCAATGGTTGGGAATGGGAAGGAAATTATAATCCAACCACACGACTGCATTTTATGCAGCCATTAAAAATGAGGCTTCTAAAGAGTTTTTGTTCTTCATCTATTGCGATGTCTTATACATCCTCTACGCACAGTATAAATCTTGGGCCATTTGGAGAAGTACTTCTCCAGCTGCCCCCTCTTGGAGATACTGCCCTTCATCTGTCCCCGTCCCCCTTCTGGCTGGGGTGGCAGGCTGAGCGTTCTCCAGGTTGCTGCCAAGCCTCCAATATAGCACTCCTGCTTGCGCTGCCCTGATGGTCACTCTGTACACTTGTGTCTATGCATGGGAATCTGAGACCTTAACTCTGCCCCCAGCTACAGTCTGTGATTGTAAACATTCTTTTTCCTTGACTTAGTGAATACATCCACTCAACTCCCTGCCTGGACACATGAATGGAATGGAACCATCTTTACCTGAAAATGCATTGCCAGATTTTCCTGAAAACATCTGCAAAGACCCATCTCTCTTTAAAAAGTCACTTTTCGTCTCTTCCCATTATCCTCACGGGTCTTTGCTTCAATCTTGTTGTTTCTGACATTTTGGGGAGGTAAAGCCGCAAATGTGTTTTGGATAGGTTGTCAGTTTTTTTTTTCTTAAGATTTTATTTATTTATTTATTTGAGAGAGAGAATAAGTAGGCAGAGCGGCAGGCAGAGGGAGAGGAGAAGCAGGTTCCCCGCTGAGCAGACAGCCCGATGCGGGACTCGATACCAGGACCCTGGGATCATGACCTAAGCTGAAGGCAGACACTTAACCGACTGAGCCACCCACATGCCCCCATTGTGAGTTATTTTAAAGACACCCAGGCAAAACTGTGCAGATAAGTTACATGGGATTCTGGGATGAATTTAAGCCCCGGCCATTTTCTCTGGTATTCTGCTTCCCAGTCATGTTGGGAGAGATTCCCATTTGCATGTGGTCTGATGAAAAATTCCAGCTGATGTCCCTGTATCCCGATGGAGATGTTATCCAATGCCTGGGTAGCACTTGGCCTATCATGGGGCTCATCCTTTTTGGAGTGAATTCCGAAGGCTAATTTTCTGTGCCCTGTTTCCCCGAGCCAAGCCTCTGCCCCCACCACACCACTGTGGGGGGAGCCAGGCCTCCGGCGGGAGGAACTACCCACCGCTTCGTCGAAACCCATGTAGAGGAACTGCTGGTACCATTGCTGGACCTCCGGCCGAGTCCGGTCCCACAGCTGCCGCTTCTGGCGCCTCAGGCTGTTCAAGAATTCTTTGGCCTTGCTCTCATCCACTGCTACTTTAGTCTTAGCCGGAGCAGGTGCTAAAAGGATCAATTCCCCGCCCCCCAAAGCACAAAGCATGAGTTCTTTTCTTATCAGGGCGAATCACTAGTATATATCCTGCACCCCAAGCTCACCCTGCCTAACATGGCTTTGATTTTTACTCTTACATCACATGTGATAAAATACAACCGCCTGTCATCAGTCTCCATGCCCCTCGGTAGTAAGCTGTCCATCTGGGTGCAGCCATATCAAGGGGCGCAGGTTAGCCCCCAACTTCTAGGGCACAGGGGAGAAACAAGATGTAGCCCGTCCTCAGCAGCGACTCACCAGGCCTAGACCCCAGGCCTCAGACAGAGCCTGGTGGCATACCCCTTAAGCATTTAGGAAGCAACTGGATGTCTAAGGCCACACAAGTGTATGTTCCTTGCATGTGCAAGCCAGAGAGTGCTGGGCTTGTTTAGGAGACCACGAGGGAAAAAGTGCTGGAACAATGAGCCCAGGCCCAGCTCAGCAGTATAGCAACTCACACCCTGGAGAGCCGGAGCAGACCGGGCCACCTTGGGCCACCCTCTGCGGGCCTCACACATCATCGACGATTCAACCGAGTCCTGACAGGTACTGGCCCTTGCTTTAACACTCGGCTTCTTTAACAATGTCTTCCCATTGTGGTCTCAACTGTTTAAAAGCTACCACTTCTGCGGGCTGTGCTCAGGGGAAGCAGCTGTGTCCCTGCGTCTGCCCCTGCTCTCGGCCCCCTCATCTATAAAACTGGACTGGCAGTCCCTTGTTATGAAGGCCGCAAAGGATGATGGGAGTGAAGTGTTCGGTGTGTTCCTTGGGTCACATGGATAAATAGCGGTGGATGTGTTTCCTCACTTCCTGTTCATCTGTGTCTCTCTCAGGGCCTGTTACTACTCTTTTGTACATAGTAGGTGCTCAATATGTGTTTCTAGGCTTGACTTGAATAAAAGCTGAGAATGTACACCAGGACTCGTGATTATCTTGGTGGTCTGCTCTCTCCCACCTCTGACAGGCTGGCCCTTTGAGAACTTCCATCACCCCGGGTGTCCTGGAGGAGCGGGCTGCCCGGCACAGAGATCGGGGATTGGCCAGGGCCTGGTGAGTGGCTAGAAACACTGAGAAAGATGCTGGGAGCTCCCTCAGGAGCCCCCTGCCCCTGCGAGGGGCCCCAAGTGCCCAGCATCTGGGGGATCTCTGGAGGGCTGACTGGGAAGCATGGGAATAGCACTAGGGAGCTCCACAAGGTCAGGGAGCAGACTGAGCTGGCCAGAATCCCCTTTCAACTGGATGGGGGGGGCAGGGAGGGAAGAATAAGGGATCAAAGGTCTACATCAGAAATGTGGCTACACTCCTCATTTCCAAGAGATAAACAACTCCTTCATTTTACAGGCAAAGATGACAGTTCCAAGGGAAGATGGCCTTCACAAGACAACATGATTGGTGCAACAGATCTACCTGATTGTGGCGGGCCCAGGATGTGTGTGGCTCCCAGCCTGTTCTGTTTCTACAACATTTTGCTGCTGGCTACCACATTCATCATAGGAGTATTTTCTCACAACAGGTGTTAGTCACAAACCAGTTTTTTCTGTTCCACCCTGCCCCCAAGGGCTAACTGGATACAGAGTACCACAACGGTACTAGTCCGAGTCTACCTCACTAACGGACGTTTTATGTGCTCTAACAGATACGCTCTAAATTTAGATATGTGCTCCGAAGGGCATCATGGTTCTAAAATACACAGCATTAAATTAACACAGTAACACTGTTTCTTTTATTTTGGGGTCCACACTGACAGCTTTCAGAAAAACAATCTTCAAACATTTACCGGCAATAATATTTACCTAATAAAATGCCACACACATACCCACAGAGTAAGCCCTTCAGATCTGCCAACCTTTCAAGGAGTAAACGCTTCCAATGTTCCAAACACAAGACCCCAGGGAGCACACTCAACATCGCCTTTCCCTGTGATCCGTTAAGAATGCCGCCCTTCCCCATGCAGGGTATCCTCACCTTCCCGCTTTTGAAGTAGCAGCTTGAGTTTATTCCCACTTATGCCACCTAATGGAATGGACATAGAAATCGTGTCAGAGTTGCACCGCCCCCTTTAATTTCTCAAGCGCAAGAATCAGAGTTGGAAAAAAATCCCCGCGTGCCCCCATCTCGATCTGGTAACCTGGCGGTTTCACAGTTTTGCTGTTTGCCACGTTCCCTGTCATGCAGGAAAAACAATTCAGGCTGCTCATGGCTCAGACGGTGACAATTACCGTGGCTGACCAGGGGCATTAGGATTGGAGCAATACCTAGGAGAAATGACATTGTTCTTTCAGCCCCTTGTGTCTTATTATGAGGCCCGGCCACCCGGCATGTGTACCTTCCTGCAAACTTTCCCTTTTCATGGTATAGTAAGTGGAATAGTGTTCCCCCCAAATTCCTGACCACTGGAACAGGTCAGCCGGGAAGCATGGTTGGAAAGAATCTCTAGGAATCAGAAATTTTTTTTTTTTTTGGTACATCATACGTTTATTACCAACAACCCTCTCAACTCCAAAACAGCACAGGGATTAAAAATAAAAATACATCGCACTTCTCATTAAAGCATTCTAGTAACTTTCACTAAAAATGTACAAAATTTGTTAAAAATTTACCAAGACTTCAAATGATTTGATTATGGATATTTATAATACATACATTTTAAACTATATTAACTGATACAGTGGAATACAATTTGAAAAAAAATGAGTCAGCAAATGGTTTCCAGAAACACCCCTGGGCCATAGATTAGGGCATAAACTAAGGTTTCCAACACCTTGGCAGCCACTCCAAAGATGGGGTGAGTCACCTCAAGAAGTTCCCCATCAAGAGTAAATAAGCAGAGATAAGCACCTGATGGGGCTCCTGTTGAGAGGATTATTTAATTGGAGTGGAGTGGGACTACACTTAAAGCTGTACTTCCCATCGAATCTTAAGGGTCAATAAAGAAATCTATGAACATATTTGCCAAAGCAGACAGACACTTTCCATGGCACAAATATTAGCATTCATTAATATCTTAACACTGGTCCATCTCTAACAACAGCGTGGCACACACAGAATTAAGTATCGTCCCTCCATCTGTTTGCCTCTGTAAAAGCACTTAACAATAAATGAATGAAATATGGCCTGATGTTGAAATAGACTTTGGATTCAGGCATTTGCAATCTTGTTGCAATTTCTAGCAGAAAATATGTCACTACTATTCTAAGAAATGAAAGCCTTGCCAGATTTCGGCTGTACAACGGAAAGGCACAGAAAAATCCTAAATTATGAATTATTGATGTTGCCACTGTGCCAATTACTACACACTGAAGTATAAATAAATATTAATACATGTGATCAGACACCACACTAAATTTGTTTGAAGAAAAAAATGAACAAATGAATAGCTGTGAATTTTTTTTCCTATAGTATGGATTTGTTTTTTACCCCAATATCATCAGTCACTACTTCTAGGTTGATAATAGGCACTCCTGAATTTATTAAACCTGCCATTAGATCTCCCAGCAGATGCAGAATTGCAAGATGCCCTCCTTTGAAGGGGCTAACTATTAATAAACTGCTCAAGAAGGAGCAATGATCATTTTCTCCATTAAATGTTTTTGGGTGTCGAAGGAGCCAGCTGTGGGACTTGATGTATAAAGATTTTCATTTTATGTCATAAGAACTTTCACATTCCAGCTCAATGATGATAATATTTTAACTGGCACCTTTCACCTCGTTCTTGGTACGAATGAAATAAAATGCAAATCTGAAAAGGAATGGCTTATAGCAGGTGCTCACTCCTTTTATTCAGATGTGCTTCTGAAAATGGGAGGAACAAAGTAGGAAAGGTAGATCAATCATGTAGTTTATTAGCCCCTCCTGTGGTTGTAACTTAGAAGGAGAGCAATTCTCCCCACTGGAACAGGTCCCCCGCTGTTCTGGCGACCTGGGGCTTTGGCCTCAGGGCTCCTAGGGCAGGCTTCCTCCCTCCCTTTCACCAAGAGTTTGCTTTTCCATACCTGTTTTGAATAAGCAAAGCAATCAAGGGTGTCTTCCATGGTCATTAGCCATCTACTTTGTAGGGGTAAGAGTACCAGTCTCCTGGTCTTGGGCAGGCGATTCAAGCCTCCCCGCCCTTAGCAGGAGATCTGGGATCACCATATGCCTCTCAAATGTGCTCATGCAGGCCTGAGGCCACTAGTGAACCCTAAAGGATCCTACAAGTGGAAGGTAGTAGGGTCAGGACAAAACCATCAGGTGGGGTCTGTGGACCCCCAGGGTTCAGATGCCTGCACCCCCTCCAAACTACTTCATTTTGGGGATGTCTATGAATATGCTCATTTTATAGGGAACAAACCTGGAATTTTCAACCGATTGCCTGAGGGCTCCATGAAGCACAGAAGGTTAAGTATTTCTCCTTTAAGAGCATTTCCCCCATCTGGGATGTGAGGCCTGGGCACAGTCTGGCAGGCCCGGAACCTGACTCAGTTGGTTAGGGAATTGCCTGGAAGGGCATCTCCATAATGAAGCTTTGGGGCTTCCCTCAGTCCTGGAGGGCCCCCACCGCTGATAGCTCCCGTTACCCCCTTGCCCCTTGTATTAGGTCCAAAACACTTCTTGCCCCTCCTTCGGACCTTGGCCCTCATTCTTCCCCAAGGTGGCCACGCAGGGCTGAGACCCTGCCCTTGACCCTAGTACTCTGTCTGCGGACCCAAGCACGCCACTCCCACTTGTGCAAGTGCAAAACCCAAGACCCCTACCACCCCTTGGTACTTGCCCGGGCTCGGGTTGGGTCCCTCTGCCCTCACTCCACCACCGATCTCCGTCCCCGCGCCCTGCCGTCGCCCCACTTACCTGGGCCCAGGCACAGCAGCAGGAGCAGCGCCAGCGCGGTCAGGGCCAGGACGGTGGGCCGCGCGGAGGAGGCGGCCATGGCTGCAGCGGGAGGGCAGGAGGGAGACGCGCGCACCGCGAGCCGCCGCGCTAGAGGACTGGGCGAGGGGGGATAGGGGCGCAGGCAGGCCGGCGCTCCCTACATCCCAGCCGGGGCGGGACCGGCAGGCCGGGCGCCGAGCCAGAGGGCCGCGGGCCAAGCGGCCGCTCAGAGCGCCACCGAGCCCCGCGCCCCCTGCACCCCCCTCACCCCGATCGCCGCCCCTCGGCTCCAAGGCCACGGACGCGCGCGACGCCGGGGTCAGGGGAAGGGATGGGGAGATGGACTACCCGGGCCCAGCTCAGGTTTCTCTCCTGCCTTCCCCTCGGGCCGGCCTGGCTCGCGCACTGCTCGCTGTCCCCCCTTTCCCCTCCGCGCTAACGCCGCCCTTCCTCCCCATCCCGCTCGCTCCCGGGCGCGGGGCCCTGCTCCTGCCTTGGCTTCTCAAGTGGCCTTTGGAATTTCCTTCATTCCGGGCGCTGCGCTTAAAGATGCCTTTGGCGGTGCTGTGTTTTGTAAGATTTTGAAAGACTCCATAGTCTGGATTCGGAACTGCACCCCGCCCCCCAAACTACTCTGATAGAAAAAGCCTTTCAGAAACCAGGGACCTGGTGAAGTCCGTAGGTGTTCGCAGGCCAAATGGGCCCCTCTGTGCGCCCCGTAACGTGTGCACACTTAGAAGACACTAAAGGGACGCCCAGTGAGACGGCAGAAGGGCCAGCGCCGAACCAGGCCTGCCCCAACACGGAGGACACACGAACTGGGCACTGTGGGGTGGTGGAGGAAAACTAAGCCAAGTTGTCCCAACCGACCTCGAGCTGGTCACCTGCATTTACAAAATGGCCATGAAGCCACATTACCTTTAGGGGCCCTTCCTACCTAAGATCTGCTCTGAACTCAGCTAGATTGCTTTTCTTCAGCTGGTTTCTCGCTCTTTATACCTTCCCGTGGTCAGTGTTTACCATTCTGCCATAGGATTCGCTCTCCCTGTGATGCAGTTGGCTTTCCCCAGCAAGCAGTGAGAAAGGAGCACCTTCATTCTGAGCTCCGGGAGGCAGATGGTGGCCGAGGGAAGAGAAAGTGTGAAGTGTGTCACAGAATCACAAGGACCTATGCCAGAGAGAGCCTGAAAGGGAGGGTCACACACCTAACGACTGTAGGACCAGAGGAATCAGGGAGAAGGAGAAAAAGCACAGTAACAAAGGTGATGGATTTACTTTAGCCCAGGGACGAGGCATTTATTAGCAGGAAGAAAACCAAAGCAAATACAAAGCCAGTGTTCTGTTTGGATTTGTTAGGACATATATTAGAGATGTTAATTATCTTGTGGCCATCATCCCCTCCACGCTCCAAATCCCCAACGGGATTTGCTTCTAATATAACATTTAACTTCTCCTCTCATAACTAGGGTCTGATCAGAAATGAATTCATGTAGCCATAGGAAGGACAGTCAGTGGCCACGTCCCTGGACAATTTCCTTTTTCTGTCTTTTGGATGCAGACCTACATTTCCTCCCCTCACCCATCCCTTCCCGTTTTCAGATGAAAATGCAGAGCAGTGATTTTATTTTCTCTTAATTCAAAGATTCCAAGAGGGAAAAAAGGTCTGCTTTAATCAGCTTATACAGTTGTAGCATTTGAAGACAAAGCGAATATTGAATCCTAATATTTTATGAGCCTGTATTAAAAAAAAAAAGAACTTTGATTTAAAAACAAACACTGATGTAGAATTGGTAAGACAGATCAAAGATCCTATAGAAAATTATTTTAAAATAATTGCCATAGGCGGGAAGAACATTTCCTGAGATCAGGCTCTGATTCCTTTCCCCAGGGAGCTCATTCATGTGCCACCTCCAGACTGCTCCAGCCAACATCCCAGGGCACCGGGGAACAGCAGCATCTTTCACAGGGAGGGGGGTGGTGAGAAGACATTGCCAGAAAAGTACACGGAAGCTCAGTTTACACCTTCTAACCAAGCAGATACACATGAGCATGTTTATTTGCAAAACAAGAATGGTTTCCAGAAGATTTTATGGTTCCCCGGATAAGTGGGACATTACACATCCCAAATTATGACCAATTTCTCCATCTCTGCCAATCAAAGAGATAGCCTCTTTGGGTAAAATTTGTATTGAAATATAACATAATCCAGAAAAGTGTGGAGATCAGCTATATGATATCATGATCAGGAAACAACTTTATCAACCTGCCAGGGGCCCCTCCCCATCACCCTCCACCCCATAGGTAATGTGCTGTGATAGTTTAGTTTGAAGCAATCGTCTTTAAGAAACATTTTAGGGGGCGCCTGGGTGGCTCAGTTGGTTAGGTGCCCAACTCTTGATTTCCGGTTGGGTTATGGTCTCCGGGTCATGGGATCCAGCCCCTTGTTGGGCTACATGCTCAGTGGTCAGTCTGCTTGAGGGTTCTCTCTCTCTTCTCCTCTACCACTCCTCCCCCCTCGTGCTCTCTCTAAAAAAAACCAAAATTTCATTGATTTTATTTTCATTTCCTTAAAAAGAAAAAGAAAAAAAACCCCTCAAAATAAATACTTATTGTTAGCAACAGGAAGATATTAATAAAAAGAGCTATCAAAAGCATCAGATTCATGACTGTCAATCGAATCCAGTTCAATTCTGTTCAGTCCTGTCTCAGTGTGTATTTCTCAAAATGCTCACTGGGCATCCTTTGCCTCGACCATGTTCCAGAGGGAAGTGTCTTCGGCTCCAATATTCTTGTTTGCCTTCCACACTGGTAGGAACATCTTATCAGCACTGATAAAACAGCACACAGTTCTAGCAGCTACCCATCCCACTGAGTCCTTTGTTCACGTTCCCTCATGCCTGGTCCAGGGTTACTCGGGTCCTGCTTGGTGGGATTTCTGCGTCTCTCCCCCGCAAACTTTGGGTAGTTCAGCTGTGAAGGGGGGCTGGCTGGGAAGGATTGGGCCCCAGTGGCCGTTACTTCAGCTTCTTCATTTAGAAGTTCCCAGGGGTGATGGAAGTCTCCATGTTCCCCACGAGGTAAAGCGCCCCTTTCATAAACAGTGTTTGGTGGCAAGGAGCCACTGACTCTGCCTTCCTCCGGGGCTGCTAACCTCGGGTGCTTTGGCTGGAGACACGAAGTCAGTTCTTGATACCAAAGTTCCTTTCCACTTGTTTATTCGGCAGTATATATGAATACTAACTACATACGAGACACTGTGAAAAGTCCTTTTCTCCCTGTTTACTTAAATTTGTCATCCCGTTCAAGTGCGTGGCTGGTCCCATTCTTTATTCCAGTGTTTCTCAAGCTAGGTCGAAGAATCCCAAGGTGCCTGTTAATGCACATTCCTGGGTCAGATCCCCGGGAGTTCTGATCCAGTCCATGTTGGGTGGGCCCAGGGGTCTGCATGTGTTGTAAGAAGTGGCTCTTCGGGAGTCCTGTTGGCCACGGTGCTCTCGAGTACGTTCTGAGATGATCAGCTCACTGCCAAATGCCATCCATAAACACTGTCTACACCTAGGGACTGGCAACCAGATGGTTAATTTTCATGCTCAGTGGTGGGTCTTCAAAACTCCTTTCCTGTTTATTAAGCATATTTCCATGATGGAATTGTAATAACATTTGCCATTTCAAATAACTGAAGCCAAAGGCAGGGAAAGTGGGAAAGTTTCCTTTCGATCTAAAAAAATACTGAGACGCACAAAGTCCTTATTATGCACAGTTCTGGCTCACTGAAGGGTTCTGTAGAAGCAGGGCTCCTGAATTTGTAAGCAGGGCTCCTGATGGGGTGCCTGGGACACCACAGGCAGATGTGGTCCTTAGCTCAGGTGAGTGTAAATCCTCCGCTCGGGAGCCTGGAGAGAGCCAAAGAGTCTTGAAAAAAAAAAAGGTTATTTGTATCCCCATGTGACCTCTCTGAGATAGGTGATGTGATCAAAGCAGATTAACGTGTGGAATGAGGCCAGTTCTCCAATCTCTTCATGCCTGGAATATGCAGCATCTTAACCAAAAGATCCCGAAAGCTGGGGGAGACCACAGAGCCCCAGAGTAGCCTGGCACGGTGGGAGAGCAGCACAGCGACCCACAGTAGGACAACTCCCCGTGCGCTTTTCCCAAATTCCTTTTACCTGTGGGGCAGAGGACTCCGGTGGGTTATTATACAAAGCCCAGAGCAGCCGCTCCACCACTGCACACAGAGTATGGGTTTTCTACGAGAAGGTCGTGGTTGCAGAGGTGACGGACAGCGGCCCTGGGCACCAGGACCAAAGCCAGAGGCCTGCTGCCGGAACTAGGTCTTCCGGCCCTGGGCGGTACTCTGGTCAGCTGGGAACCAGCAAGGCCAAGCCACCACCGGCACTGGTGGGACAGGCAGAGGCCAAAGGTACCGACAGGCACCACCAGCACCTAAGTGATCTCTGGCTTTATAAATGACTCAAAGCAGTCCCCTCGGCTTTTGACAAACATCTCGAATCCCAAAGACGTGGGACAGGGATTGTGTTGTGCTCCTGCTTGGGGCGTCGCTGATAGAACCCTACTGAATTCTATTCGGGGCCAAATAATTAGAGCTCCAACAGTTAAGTACAAGCAACACCCACAGGATCCAATCCACAGAACTCCCCTGATTACTGTTGCTCTTATTCTTCATTTCCTTTTCCTTTCAGTGGTGTTTCATTTTGTCATCTATGTATGTTGTTAATGACTGAGCGCAGAATTTTAAGATAGCCTTGAACATGCGGAGCCAGAGAGAAGATGTTCAAGATGTTAGCCCCATGTCAGCATCAGAGATTCGTACCTTCTGTGAAGGCACTGTATCTCCAAGAGCTCTGCAAAATAAAAATATGATACAGCAGTGTGAATAAGGAGCCTCCGTTCATTGAGGGGGGAAAGCAGTGATGCCAACCTCCCCTCCAAGCCTGTTATCCATCCCCAACGGCATCAGCAACTATGGGGACAAGGGGCTGCCCGGGGAATGCAAAGCCTCTAGTTTAGAGGCCACTTGATGAGTCCCAAGTGGGCCCACTCCAGCCCCTGGGGGGTGGGCAGGAACAAACCTCCCTTTCCCAGATAGGGAAGCCGAGGCCAGAGGTTGTGACTTGCCCACGGGCCCCTGGGTGGTTCTCACCAGCATTGGAAATTTCCTGACTCAGTCCGCGCTCCTCCATTTCTTGGGTCCATCTGCATTCTGGGCTCGCCCACAGTGCTGGGCGCTGGGCGTGGGAAGGTGTGAGCCCATTCTGACCCTCAGGGGGCTCGGGGTCTAGTCGGGGAAGCAGCAGGTGGACACGTATGTCCCAGGAGCCGCAAACTGCACTTGGATT